TATATAAGTAGTAGTCGGTACCGCCTCTTTTTCCTCTATTTCTAAGTAGATAAGCTTTCTTCTACTTTTTATATTAGTCTAGTATCTAAGATTCTAAGAAGTTCTAGTCTACTAGATATAAGACCTTATACTTAAAACAATTAGATACTTTAAGACTTTAGCTAACTAATAAGAGTCTAGACTATCTAATTATATAAAATCTATTAGTACCTATCTAGTAATATATTAATTTATGTTTTCTCTATATAATATACTTTTTTTATTTTATAACTTTAAGTATATACAGATAGTACTATATATTTAGTTATAATTTTTTATTAGTAGTACTTTCTTAGAATAGTAGTATAGTGTACTACTTATAATTCTAGCTACTTAAATAAGCTCTAGATATTGTACCTAGGTAGCTTCCATGTCTTAATACCTCGACTGCCAGCTAGACCCTCAAGCCACCTAGTGTAGGTTCGTGTACCTTGAACGCGCGACGGGGTCTGTGCGCTGAGACCGAGTCGTTTAGTGCCTAGCTAACCCTTTTCACGTGGAAGCTCTCACTCTCATCGTCCCTCCATAATCCTCTCCCAACACCTTGCCACCACTGCCTACCTGCAAAGGCTTCGACGGCTGCAACACATACAACATCCTCGCCCATTTGGTGTCGCTCGCATTCCGCCACGCATGCATGGTCCCGCGCTGAACGCATATGTCTCCTGGCGCCATCCGCCGCGTCTCGCCGCTATCCAGGATGAGTTCGATGTCGCCTTCGATGACAATCCCATAGTCGAGCGAGACGGTTCGATGCATCGGCGATACACTTCCCGGCCCAATGTCGACATGCCGGAGCACGGTGCCGGAGCCGATGACGAGGCCCGGAGGTTCCGCGGCATACCTTTCGTATGCCTTCAAGTCTCTGTCCTGGTTCATGTCCACGGGATACTGGTCGGTGCAATATGAGAGGTAGAAGGTTGCATTTGCACCCTCAACGTCTTGCGGCTTGAGTTCCTCGGGCACCGTGTCCGAAATTATGGCCTTGCCTTCTGCATTGTGAGTGGTGATGAGCCTGGTCGGCGGCTTCAAATGATTTGGCGGTGCCATGATGCGCAGTGAAGATGACTGAATGTCTGACATGCGAGGTCAGTCGCTCGCTGTTTATAGCATATGGCACTCGCTCTTATCGAAAGCTCATCCTGGTCGCAGCGGAGACGTCCTGGGTGCTAGCGTCCACCTACGGATGATGTGGGTGGCGGCACATCTTGCACACTCACACTGCTGATCTCAACGGCAGGCTGCAAGAATAATCTGGAAAGACTCTGATATTCAATGTGTACTTCAAGTTCATCCTTGCCAGGATGACCACGCCGGTTGCAGGAACCTAATCATTTCGGGCTGGACAATATACCATTCGACATAGCGTCTGTCTCACCTATAGATCGCCCAACTTGTGTCACTCGATACCAGGACAACATTATCTTCCTTAGCAAGCTTTCTGGGATATACGAGAAAGTATCTGGTCTTCTCAAGCGTATTTCCAGCAATGCAGTCTCAATGCCTGTGCTGGCCTGCCAGACGAGACACATTAGCGGTCCGTCTGTTCCTACAGGGCCGTATCAAAGCTGACCAAAGCCTACAAGAGCTACCTTCTGGAACAGCCAAGCATGTATCAGAAGTCGCGATGCACCTTCCGATAGAAGTGGGCGACTTCACAGATTTCTTCTGCTCTCATCAACACGTGCAGAATCCGAAGCCGTGACCGGCCAACGTTCCACGTCGCCGGCATTCTTTGGATACGCTGGTCGCTGCTCAGGCATCGATGTTTCCAAAAAAGCCCGTCGAGTGACCACAAGGGCAACACTGGTCGGGAAACCCGATGCAGAGTGACGTGACTTTTGGACCATGCGAACGGATGGACTATGACCTCGAGTTGGGTTGTATCATCGGCAAGCTCCTCCCGCGCAATCACCTGGTACTCGCCTCAGAAGCTGTGAAACACGTATCTGGCTATGTCCTGTCCAATGACTGGAGCTCCCGAGAGGTTCAGGCACGGGAGATGATACCACTTGGACCTCTCAGTGGAAAAATGCTGGAACCACGATGTCGCCCTGGATCATCACCCAAGACGTTCCGGAACAGCTCAAGACGAGAGCGCAGCATGAAGCTCTCTATCTCAAGACCTCGGGCGAACAAACTCTGGAAATCACGTCACAAGTCGACATTGCCTCCGAAAAGAATGGCACCGCATCTCAGACCATGTGTGAGCAACAGCTCCTGGATGTACTGAATACCCGCACAAGGTGTAGCTCATCAGGCAATCGGTTGTCGTGGGCTACGGACGGGCGATTTGCTGACTACAGAGACTGTGGGCGGAAAAGATGAGGCAGAGCATGTATGTCTTCCTGAATTCATGAAAGCGGGCCCTTCGCCGCCTCGCGGGTATGTAGAAGACGGTGAGCCCGTCGCACTTTCTGGCTACTGTGGCGAAGGTGTCAGATTCGCAGAATCTGTCGCTACACTGCGGCCTGCCAAAGCGCTATAACACTGAGCATTCGCTCGCATCCTCTACTACCACTCCCCACCAATCCTGACCCTAAATATTTGATCATTCAACCTGCCTCCAGTCGATCTCCACAACCAACTCGCACGCTGTCGCATATGCATCAGCGTGTAGTCTCCGCCTGAACCACATTCGGCACACTTACCGCTTGCAATGTTACACCACCAAACATGACCCGAATGAAATTCCTCTCGATCTCGTTATTGAACGTGTTCCTATCCCCCAGCAAATTCTCCGGTCGCGCGGGTCTATACGCTGGAACTCTTCTCCACTGGGTCTCCCAGCCTTCCGGGTTACTTGCTGCTGTTACTCCTGGTTGCGAGCTCGGTGGAGGTGCAGATGCTGCTTCGGCTTCAGATGGTTGGCTGTGGTGCAGTTCGTAGTCTGCGAGGTGATGGCGAAGGGTATTGAGGCGGGCGTTGTCGGTCGTGGTTGCGGACATTGTGCTTGTGGATTCAAATGGCCTCTGGGAGGATGGAATAAGCAGGAATGAGTGAGCTAACTCGTATTGGTGTTGAAGGTCGTGTGAGGTGTCGCACCCACCCGCTTTCTTCCGGAGGCTCATCCACTTCATCCGGACCTGGCAGGTCTCACAATCACATTGCACGGCGCCCACTTTTCGGGCGCCGGAAATTATCAGATCCGAGCGCAGAGGCGCAAAGGGTGCATGAAAGAAACATCTAAACAAACAACGTCGCGCTCGGATTTGTGAGCTGCTTCATGCGCATGTGCCTTTGCAGCCAAAGTCCATCCAGCAGATCATGGTCCATCCATTTCCAAGAGTCGAGGCAGCAGCCATAGACGGCCGCTTGCATACCGTCTACCATCGACAAGTGCAACTCGAACGACTCTGCAAGACATTAATTGAAAACTTCAATGAAATCCAACGAGCAATCGAAACGGATGCCGGCTTGTCTGAACAAGAAATCGCAATCGAATATCATCAGACATTGTCAGCTGTGAAACGGTCTTACGCTCTTCTCAAACCAAAGGAAGCGCATGAAGGGGAGTATCTGATTGCTAATGGGAGAAATGCTCCGAATAATCGAGTGCCGGCCGGGATTGTGTATATCGAACCGACAATGCACACTCTCTTCTATTCTGCGATAGTGCCTTTGGCCGCGGCGATGGTTGCTGGAAACTGCGTCGTTCTACTGGTATGTATGCTTTCCTTCCAATCAATTCCAATGCCCGCAAATAGCTAACATGACGAATCGATAGCTTGAAAACAACCTCCACTCGCTTTCCAGCTTACTCCGAAGGGTCCTCTCCGCCTCTCTAGATGCCGACGTCTTTGCCGTCGCCTCTGCGCCTGTCAAAGATGCAGCTTTCCTCAGCAAGTCTCTCTGTGTACTCCAAAACGGCGCCGATGGAATTCCCAGGATCAACCAAATCACGACACCAGCAGCCGCACCAGTCGTAGCCGTAGTCGATCGGACGGCAGATCTCACCCTCGCCGCGCGTGAATTGGTAGCAGCACGCTTCGCTTTCGGCGGCACCAGCCCTTACGCTCCCGATATCATCCTCGTAAACGAATTCCACCACAAGGATTTCCTCGACGCGGTCGTGAGCGAGAGTTCCAGATATAGACCTAACGACAACAAGAAAACAACAACATCCAATTTCCTCGCAACATTACCGAAAACATCCACAATTCGCCAGCAAGAACCGAATCGTCCTATTGTCGATCTTTCTGCTCGAGAAGATATCCTACAAAAGAAGGCGGAAGTCCCCATCCTCGCGATCCACGGCATTTCCAGTCTCGACGACGCTATCGATCTCCTCACCAGCAAAACGGCGGCAACAGCTCCTCTTCTCGCCGCTTACCACTTCTGCAGTCCCCGAGCAGGCAAATATCTCTCGCAATTCATCCATGCTTCGCACACATACATCAACCACATCCCTTCGGAACTCCTCGTAGGACCTGCTTTCACCACGACGGAAAGATACCCGCTGGAATCATTCTCCCTGCCGAGACCTGTGCATATTACCGCGCCAAAGAAGGAATCTGGATTAGGGAAGAAGAATGCTGTGGTTTTGATAAAAGAGGCTACGACTCCGCTGAGGCAGTATAAGCGCCATCCCGGCGGAGGCATCGGAGGCGTCGGGTTCTTTGAGCAGGGGTTCTTGATCAATGCTTTGCTTATTGTTGGGAGTACGGTGACTTGTACGGGGTTGGGGGCGTTGTGGTTGTGGAGGTGGAGGTCTGTTGGTGTTTGAGATATTTGTTGGTATGTTTGTACGTAGTAGCCTCACTTGCTGTCATAATCAAACACTATCATTGGGATTGATGATATCAAGGACAGTGGAATCTTTTGCCGCGAAGGAAGTACTGCAGGCCGTGGATATGACGGTGTGTGAAACTGACGCATTTCCTGTTGAGGGATTGTCTGTTTGACAGGTCTGGTACTATCGCAGCTCGCGCGAGCGTCCTGTTATCTCATCGACGTCGATGGGTCAAAACGTTCTAGGGCGAGTGTGTTCACGACGCGAACAACGTTATAGTTGTACCGCATCTTCTTCTACTCATGTCGCGTGACAATGCGTACAAAACAATCCTACATGGTCGAGACCCATTTGGAACTGTCTCTATAGGGCCACGCTATTGAACCTTATTTGTATGTGAAAATTGACATGATTGGAGGCCTTCCCACGCAGGGTCAAGGTACGTACATCTTCGCGAACAACACTGGGCAAGATTGAAGCCAGCAGAGAAACGAGACTTCATCTGTGGCTGGCTGCTACATGCGGTGGAAATTCTTACTAGAGACTTGGCTTGGAATCAATCAGCCAGCCAAGCCAGCGTCGAGGAATCTTCAAGCTGTGTGTGCGTTCGCTCACGCCTGACTAGTATACATAGAAAAAGATCGTAAGTACGCACGCACGCAGCAAGGCACGCAGCAACGCAACGCGCCTGAATTTCCCTTCCTGTCTTGCCCTTTTGCGAACACTAGGTGTCCGGGACGGAGCATAACGTTTGTCGGTAAGGAACTCTACTTCTACTTCCCGGGCAACGAAAGAAAGAACGAAAGAAAGAGAGAGAGAGAGAAGCATTCGATTTCGTTAATTCGGGGGGATCTTCTTCGGTTGATAGGTTCCCAACAAACTGGCAATATGCCCCAGCCCTCCCATGAAGGCTATGTCGGCTACACGATTGCCCAGATCGCAAATTCCACCTCCCCGCAACTCCAGAAGACTCTCTCCCTCCGACCCAACGTCGTCCTGCTCCATGCCGGAACAAACGATCTCTCCTCTTCCAATACCTCCCTCGACGCCACGGCCCCGCAACGTCTCGGTCAGTTGATGGATATGATCCTCTCCGCGGTGCCGGACACAACCCTGCTCGTGGCGCAAATCATCCAGCTCGAAAACGGTAACCAGGCACGAGTAGACGCTTACAACAGCAAGATCCCCGGGGTCGTGCAGCAACGGGTTGCCGCGGGGATGAAAGTTTTGGCTGTGAACATGACGACGATTGGAGCGAATGGGATGAATCAGAGTTATGATCAGAGTGGTGCGCATAACAACGATCCATGTCGGAGTTCAAAGGGTGTGAATACTGGCGATCTGGTGAGTTCCATTCCACTCGACTGGAACTAGGTTGGAACTTACTGACTTGATGCTCTTTTTTCATGTGCAGGCCGAAGGTGTTCATCCGAATGATTGTGGGTTTCAGAAGATGGCGAATGCTTGGTACGAGGCGATGGAAATTGCTAGCAACCAAACTTGGATTACGCCACCTTCCTAGATGAGATGACGATATGGTTGTTCCGTCTAACAATTGAGCGTTTCTGCTGGTTCCTGTGCGCTTTGGTAGTAATGTCACGGGATATGAGGGAAGCAGGTTTTCAACTACCTCCAATCAGGCGCTTTGCCGAGGACCTCAAGGTTGCGAGCGGTCTGTACGGAGATAGGTGTTCAATTGGAGCGTAGGCGTTGTAATGAACGAAGTGAGTTTTGAAAATCTCTACGCACACCCGATACGTGCCCGAGAGTTAGAGATCTATCTGTGCCCCTTTTCAACATCGTTTTGAGAAACTCTCAATCTCGAAAAGCTCATTCGAAATCTATTTCGGTGGGATGATAGGAAGCACGACATAATTCTCATACCCATCCCCGAAATGCAAAGAATTTCGTCCCGCGAAGACTTTCTCAGACCTGTAGAATAACCACCATCATTAGCTGTGGACTCGCAGGTCAAATTGTTAGAAGAAGAAGAAGAAGAAGAAGAAGAAGTCAATCATACCTGTCAACCGCGGAGTTATGCTGGAAAATTCCCGAACCCTGAGTATCACCGCTCGAGACCTCGAAGACAATCTTGCCTCCCTTCTCCACGACGACATTCGTCGGCCAGATTTCCACGTCGAGCTCGTAGACAGTGTCCGCTTTCACCTCTTGCACGTCGGTGCTCCGGTATTCCCGATGCGGCAACCAAGCTTGATGTCTTGGGTGGTCGGGATGGACTTTGCGCAGAGAAGCTCGCAGCCAGCCTTTGGTCAGAGGCACAGGGTCTCCTGCAGTTCCAGTGTAAAAGACCTCCCTTCCCTCCGGGGAAATATGACGCAGCGTGACGAAGAGATCGATGTCCGATGGCGCAGTCTGACTTTCTGCGGTGCTAGAGGCCGATACTGCTAGATGGGCGACTATATGGCCGGTGATTTCGGTTTCCTGGTCGAATGGCGCAGTTTGGAACTGTACGAGCTGCGGGGTGTCGAGCATTCCCAGCGCTTGGTACGTGATAGTCTTCTTCTCGGGAGAAGGCGCTGACGTTGACAGGCTCTGATCGGGATGTAGATAGTAGCGAGTGTACTGTGTCCGAGCAATCGGCCATTCATTCTCGGTTCGCCGGGGGTATGCCTTCTCAGCCTCAGCATCGTTAAAGCCAACGTCTCCCTTGCGGAGCACGAGATCAACCGGCGGGAGTTTGCCTTTCTCGGACCAGCCCACTCGATCTTCGCCCTTTAGGAAAGCGTCCAAGAAGCTCCTCTGCAATTCAACTTCTTCCTGGTAATAGAATGGGAGATCGTGTCGTCCAGTGATGAAGCGCAGATATTTCAAATCACTTCCAGCATTGAGATATCCCTGCACATTACCTCGCAAGTGCAGTAATATACCACCCCAATTTGCCACCGAAAGAAGGGGAACCTTGATGTCGGAGAGACTGAATTCCTTACTGGCGTAGTAATCCTCGTCGCGGAAGTGAAATTCTTCATTGTCGATGGTTTGATCCTGGCGGTTCTTCTTCAATTCCTCCTCGCTCAGATCGCCCTCCAGTGTATCTGGGCCCCAATTCTTCGCAGCTCGGCCTGGTCGTCCGTACTGATTGCTGACGACCTGTCTGTTCCACCAGAAGGAAATGAAAGCATTGCTGAGAATTCCACCGTGCCTGCATCGGTCCCGATAGTAATCACTCATGCCTTCCCAGGGAATGATACAAGCCAATCCTCTTGGTTGTCGAGCCGCTACACGCCACTGCGTACCCGCGTAGTAGGAGATACCAAGCAAGCCGACCTTGCCCGACGACCAAGGCTGTTCAGCGCTCCATTCGACCACTTGGAAGAAAGCCTCCGAAGTGCCTTTGGACATGGTATCTAGCAGACCTGGACTCTGCCCGGTGCCCCGCTCATCCGCTCGAACAACAGCATAGCCTTGTCGCGTCCAGTAGCCCGGATCCGGAGTCTCCCATGCTGAATGCTCAGACTTTTGCTCGGGGTTCAGCTCGGCGAAGGATTTTGGGAAGAAGCTGTCGCGAACGGTTAGCAATGGCTGCCAGCTGTGCCTATCGCGTTGCCTACTCTGCGTATGGAATATCCTTCCCATACGGACCATAGGTGACTAGTACAGGGTATGTTCCCTCGGCCTTTGGACGATAGACGTTCACTCGCACCAATCCTTCGGAGTCCTTCAGCGGGACGGTGGCATTCTGCTCGAAAATATAAGGGAAGGAGTCCTTGTCGACGGTATGGAGATTGCGAATCTGATTAGGCATCTTTTCGGTTGAATCTGATTATTCGACAGATCGTGTAGAGTATAAAGGTGAAGAGGAGGGTGAGGAAAGTTATTAGCTGAACGCGAGACTTTCTGCATCTTACGCGTCGGCGGGCGTGTCGTCCGGCGACCGACGATGACATGTAGCCATTGGACTCGGCATGTTCATGCGGATGCTCTCTACGCTCCACATGTTGGCCGCGTGAGGTGAAGTTGGTCGCGTCGGTCCACCCACATGTATCCGTAGAGCGATACCGAAAGCGAAAGATGCGAGGGCAGTCGAGACGAAAGTTGCAGTCTACTTCCAAATGCGTATTGAAAAAGCATGTTAAGATATGAATGGCCTTGTGAGGGAAGGCTATCCAGAGTCGTAATAGCAAGTTCCAGTGAAGACATATATGGACATAACAAGCAGACCCACGCGCCAATCACTCACTCATGTAATTCAACCAACCAGCTCCACTTTCTCAATGAGCAGCAACGGCCGGTCCTCCCTTCCAACTCCCAACAGTAAACTGACTATTACACATGTTCGTCAACTCCCACGTCTCAGCCTCCAACCTCCCCCTCTCCTCCTCTTCATCCTCCCAGTCTCCCGCCGCCCCCGAGACAAAACAGGCAGCCATAAAATGATCATCCGTAGCATGCGCATCCCGATACTGCGGATGCTTCATCAGCCTCGTAACACCTCTTCTCAAAGCCGGACCTCGATTCTTCGAAAGCACGTCTTCCACGCTCTGTCGGAACTCCAACGCCCATGTCTCGGGTGGTTTCTCCTGTGCGAAATTGTCGCGATATTTCAGCATGGGAGTCCAATTATTGCGGAAGAGATTGTGCACCGCTCCGCCCGTGCCGATGAGGAGATAGTTTTCCTTACGGAGGGAGCGAAGAGTGCTACCGACACGCATATGGAAGTGTGGATCGAAGCGCGCATTCAAGGAGAGGATGGTGGTGGGCGGACACTTGTCGGGGAACATCCGGATCAGGATGAGATATGTATCATGAATCCACTCGAAACTGGGGTTGGGCCGGACGTTGAAGCCTTCTGCTTGGAGCATCTTCATGCAGCGTTCTCCCGTGGCAAGGTCGGGTTCGAGTTTGTAGTCGACGTATTTGGATGGATGGACGTAGGCCACGGGAGATTTGCCTGGTGATGGGTTCATGCATACTTCAATCACATCGCCCGTGGCATCCCAATGGGCTCCCTGTGCGAGTGTCAGAGATGGGTCATTGTGAGATGGTTCGTCCTACGAACCATCATGATGACGCCCTTGATTCCATTCGCGAGAGCTTCATCGCCGCTTTTCTTCCAATAATGTGCGGATTCGGACTCCTCGCCCAGCATCATGGTCGAGCCATGGGAGAAGAAATGTACCGGAGTAAGACCTTTCATCACTTGTCAGCAAAGCAGTGAGAGGAGATTCGGTCCTGGGAGACCCACCCATTCTGTGGCGTCTGTCGTGTAGCTGACGATGTCTTTGGTCGATACGCCGAAGATGTTCAGCTTGTCGACGTCGGTCGCGGTCGGTATTATCATACCCGTCTTGTGTCGACGTGTCCATCACATGCATAGTACCTTGTCCACTCCAGATGTGGAAAAGTGGGTTCGCCGCCACCAGCTCCCGTGAAGCCGGCCGTTCTTCCGGTGGACGCGAACGCCCCTGCTCGCTCTCGGCTTTCACAACGACGGTGTCAGGCAGTACTTGGCCCGATGTCAACTGCTATAGCTCTTCGAAGCTTGAGGAGTCTTGTTCCGCTCAGCTACAGCGCTGCAAACCAGAAGCACAACACAATCCCTCATCACGTCCCTTTTCTTGGCACACAAGACACTCTCCCAAAGAGCCCCATATGCCACTTGCTAAGGTTGCAAGGAATATCGCCCGCCCTCTCCATAGCTGAGACAATGCTTACCAGCGATGTAAGACAGCACCATCCAGCACATTGTTCCGCCTGGTCTCTAGAGCCCAGAATCCAGCATCCTGGCACGTCTCGGAGTGTGCGCCGATGCCGACCCCATATCCACAGTCTGTAATCCTTGCAGACACTGGGGATACTTGCTGGATGCTTCCTCGCGAGGCATGTAGATATCTTCGTTGAAAGGCGGTGTTACCTGCAATGTGCGATTTTGCTTGCTTGCTTGCTTGCTTTTTTGGAGTCCCTTGACGAGGCAGAATCCTGGAATGATGCTGTTGTGTGTCCTTGAGGAATTGCTGACAGTTCGTGAAGGCGCAGAGGAGTTGGAAGTTGTAGCAGGGTGGTGAATCTTGGAGAAATAAATGTGCGGTCGTGAGAATTGTGATAATGTTGGGAGAAAAGAAGAAAGATAAAATACGTGTCTGAACGTGATTCTTTCTTCCTTTCAAATCCAAGACGCTTGCAGTCACCCAAAGCTTCTGATCCGTGTCGATGCAGACAGATTCAAGTGACGAAGGATTGGAGCGGTATTTCCAATTCGCCAAGTGTTCCATCAACTCTTCCACTGGCACCCGCCAAACCAGCAGAAATTCCACGCACTTCCATGACCTAACGCAACTTCAGCCCCAACTTCCGAAGCGTCTCCAGGCAGTCATCGCAGATGCGCCCGGGAACCCCAGGGTGCCAGAACGTCACGCCTCTGCCATCCTCGTCGACACATCGTTGGTAGGTTATATCAGCGCGGCTACGGTCCTCTTGGAAGGTGGCGAATCTCTGCTTCAAGAAGAGCGCAACGTGATCATCCTTTCGTAGTGGTGCTTCGGGATACGATCTCGCGCCCATGGAAGTTTGAGAGCGCAGCGCTTCAAACATTGCAGGCCTGTTGTGCTTTACAACGAAGGGGTGAAAGATGGCTGAGGTATTTTGTAGGCCTAGAGTCTTTGGAAGATTGCCGTATAACGGCTTCATGCCGCTGCCAGCAGTTGTGCTTTGTTCTTGAGAGGTCGAAGTGGAAGAATTCTTCAAGGCTGGAGCGGATCTTTTCGCCCTGCGCTGTATTTGTTCAGCAGGAAGCGGAACTTGCGCTCTCAGTCTTTCCGTGGCCTGGTCCAGTACGTGCTTCGTTTTCTCTCCCTTCGATCCCTTGGATCTGGCAGCCGCTTCACTGCGCTTGGCAGTCTCGTTGATCTTGTGCTTCGCAACTTCAGACTTGCGGAAAGACGTGCGACCGGAACGAAACCCATCAGTCCCCCTTTTGGTCTGGTTGGCTGCACCAACAGGCTTGCTGGAGAACTCAAAAAGGGGCAGGATATGCTCGAAATCCTCCTCGATCTCCTCATGGGAGATCAGAACAGGCTCTTCGGTGGCCTGCTCAACGGTAATGAGCTCAAAGTCGTCCTCCATGTCGCTCTCGAGGGAGACATCCTCCAGCTGAGTGTTGGCGGCACGCTTCTCAGCTGCTTCGAATTCAGGAGCTTCTGTGTCCATCTGCTTCAGTCGATTTTGTTGAATGAGGAAGTCTCGAAATTCTTTGGCGGAATCGAAGCGATTCAAGACTCGATTGCCCCCGGCGTCAGCCATTCCAGGCATGTGGTATTGACTCCAAGTGTAAATTTGCTGGGATAAGACGGTGGGCGTGGTGTGCGCAAGACTCTGCGGCGTGGCCGTAGAATCTGTGAATTGTAAGTGTAGAACTTGTATGAATGCTTGGAACCAAAGGGAAAAGAGGGAGAAATTTGGAGCCTATGCTCGCCAAGGAGATGGCATGCTCCAAGTGTGTGGTACGTTGAGGCTCGTAATGCAATTCCAGTAGCCCATTAGAGTCCCGAGTGTTTCGATACTTCTCCTTGCCCAATGACGTTGCCGACGATTGCCATTGTCATCAAAATGTAATCCATCTTGGGCATTATGGTCTTGGTAAGCCACCCACGCAGCCTCTGCATGCTTGCACAGTGTATACCATCAGAGCCGTCTTCTTCACAGCAGCGTTTCGACGCTCGATACGCAGGAGACCTGACATGCTCCTGCGCATGCAAATGCTCTTGCTGTGAGAGGCCCCAAGCCATCGCTACTACTCATCTTCTACGCTCTCATCGAAAGTCCTCCGCAGGTCGCTTCGTGTAGTACATGAAAGTCGTAACACGCTGGTGAGAGGCGCACTGGACTATTCAAGCAATCTTGCGACTCTGAAGGATGCAGTGTGATGCAGAAGAATTGTGGAAAAAAAGTCTGTGATACATCGAATGTGTCCGTTCTGAGAGCGATACCGAGAGGGAAAGAGTCAAATGGTACCTTGGCTGGCCACTGTCTTGTCTTGGCATCGAAATCGGAACCGGGTTTACTATTCCCCACCTAACGCCCCCTTTCTGGCCAGAAAGAATTGACAGGCAACCTAGGTACGAGCTCGTATGAAGGATCTAAATCCTGCTATCAGAATGGATTCTTTCAAGAGACCTGACAAGCTATCATACACAGGTACCTACAATAATATCGGCGGAGCGGCTTTTTTAAAATCAAACTTTTGCCTGAATGTCCCCCCGGCATTCTGTTGCAAACGGCAAGCAAGACTCAAGAGCTTGTCGATGATTCACGCTTTTCGGTTTCCGTTTGATTGCCTTTGACCTGACCTGACCGCAAAGGGGGGGGAATAGAAATGGATCCGGTTTTTTATTTTTTTTTATAGATGCATGCATGATTTGATTATGATAAATTTAACGGGCATTTTTCTGGAATGATGCTCTCGGAGCAAGCGTGAGAGCTCGGATTCGTATGAGGTGGGCAAGAAGCGTCGTCGGGCGGTGTAGAGATCGATTGCTGTCTCCATGCCAGGCATGCAATAATCAGCGTTGGTATCAACCGAGAAATATGAAATGAAAATGATCAGAGCTTCCTTCAACTTGCCTCTTTCATTGCATTCCATTCCATTCCATTGCCAGAAGCCATAAACGATTATAGGTCAATCCATCTGCTGTCATTCATAGGTTGCAAGAAGATGCCTTTCAAGCGAACACAAATCATAAGATTTCCTTTCCATTGTGGGGGCTCACATCTACAACCGACTCGACTGTAATTCGTGCTGCTTTTCACTTCACTCCCCGGGCATACCCCCTCGCAGATTATCATACCTGCTCTCGGGATATTCCAGACAATTCTCGTGTTGCTCCATATGCTTGCCGTCAAACCCGCCCAGGCCCTGCACGGTGATGTTGATCAAGCTTTCCGCGTGGCCAGAAGGGTGGTCGCCGCTACTTTCCCACCACATGGCGCCCCCGAGGCCGACGTGTTTGATGTATTGGACTTTCTGGGCGGCGACTTGGGGGCTGTCGTAGGAGACCAGGGTCTTGGTGGACGGGTCATAGCACCAGGAAGCGACGGCTTGGTTGTCGTGGTGGACTTGGGAGTTCGGACGCGGGAGGGCCTGGGATGCATGTTAGCGAAGAGCTTTTTGGATGCATGGTCGCGAAGACGGGAACATGAGTGCGGTGGAGTCAGATTAGATCAAGTTTTGGACGTCAAAAGACGCCGCGCCCATTGAATGCCGTGCTCATTCGTGGGAAGACATGCAGGAACCATCGCGAAGAGGCTTCTAACATTCCTTACCACGAAGAGTTCATGCAGGGCATGCTAGACGTTGAGCTCGGTATCATCAATGGAGATGGAGAGGGCAAAAGGAATACTCTGCACCCACCTTGTAGTCCCACACGCCATTCTCCCAGCTGCCTTCGCCGACTCCGCTGTATCCACGGCCCGGCCCCTTGGTATTTTGAAAGGCCCGTCCGTACAGCGGCATGCCAAGCACGATTTTGCTCGGATGTACTCCATGCTCAATGTAGTACCGCACCGCGAAGTCGATGCTGAACGGCGTGCTCTGCGGATTCTGCTGGGCTGGGTATATGTTGGCTTGATGACCGGCATTCGAATCCCATGAGCCCGCAAAGTCATATGCCATCATGTTCCAGAAGTCGAGGTAGTAGTCCATTTCCTTCAGCCTCAGCCAGCGGCAGTTTGAAGGCCCTGCCGGTGAAGCAACCGTCAGCAAGAAATGGGGGCGATGTTGCAGGGAGTTCGTGTACGCCTCCAATTCGTGCCTCACGGCATGAAGAAGCTTGACGAAGTCGTTGGCCTCTGCGTCTGACTTTGGATACTCCCAGTCGATGTCCAGACCGTCGAGGCCCAGATCCTTCAGCAGGCGGACCGCGCTCGTAGCGAATGTGCGCCTGCCCTGTTCGGTGGAGGCCGGCTGAGCGAAATTACTGCTATACGTCCACCCGCCAATGCTCAGCAAGACCTTCAGGTTTCGATTGCGCTTCTTGAGCAAGTAGATCTGTTTGATGCAGCCGTAGACGTTGTTGCCCGTGTCATTCCAAGAATCGGAAGGGTAGTGTTTGTCTGTGTCTGACCAAGAATCGGTCAAGTAGACTTCTCCACTATCTGGGCGCACATTGGCGAAGGCATACAAGATGTGTGTGAGCTTTTCGGCGGGAATGTCCTGTGGCTGGTGGTTCCGGCCGTAGATGGCCCAATTGACGAAGTAGGCGACGCTGCGGTAGCCTGGCTGATACGACATGTTGGATGTGAAGTGTGGGAGGGTATCCTGCGGGATCAGTGGCTGTTGATGAGTGTTGAGAATGTCTGTTAGGATATTAAAACCAAGAGTTGGGCACCACAAGACAGGGAAAGTGGCTACGCAAGAAAAGAGGCAGTGCAAACTTGATAGTCTGAGCATATCGCGTCAGCCCGCAACGCCTCATGTGGCGGCGCACGCGCGTGATGACGGGAATGGAGCTGAGCAGTGCCAGTGCTTCGTTTGGCGTCCTCGAAGTTGGAGGAGGGAAATTGTTCATTGGAGTGTGAGGGAATGAATTGGAAGCGATGCCTTACAGTCCTGCAGACGCACAAGCCACGAGCTCGTGATGCTGGCTAGGTGCAGAAATTCAAGGAGAGCTCCGCGGGCATTCCAGATGCTACGAAAGCGGAGCGGCGCGGGCGGAAAGAGATCGAGGACGGGATGGAGATGTGGTCGCCGCGGCGGCGGCGGTGGTGGTGGTGGTGGTGGTGGTGGTGGTGGTGGTGGTGGTGTGGTAGTGAAGGAGAAGAGGTGGGGGAGATTTCCTCCGAAATTTGCCGAAATTGGGCCGATTGAGCTCGGAGCTCCTTACCTACCTAGGTACCTTACCTAATTACACTGCCAATGAGGCCGGTTTACGTTCCCTCACCGCTCCGCGAGCACAGCCGTCGTCGTCGTCCAGGGAAGAAGAAGAATGATAAGGCAGCAAACTCTTCTCTCGCACGCACGCTTCACGAATCATGCGACAAACAGAGATCTGTACCGCTGCACCGACACGAGCCTTGAAACGCCGGCGACCGCCGTGAGCGCGTAGACATTGGGCCAGCGCGATCAAACACGCCTATCTGTCGGGCACTTGCTTACAATAGATAGATTGCGACGAGACAGCAGGCGGCAATCGTGGCGCGTACATTATTGTCTGGGAAGATTGTCTGGACTACGAATCCAGCTGCAATGCCTTCCATCGTTGCCAACGACGCGCCGACCATTGCGATTCCACGCGGAAATACATCTGCTCCTACAACCTCGATGAAACCACCGCAGAAGCGCATTCGTCTTCACGACGAGGCCTACGGATCGATCCTCGAGCGTCGGATGGAAGATCTCGAAACCTCCCTCGAAGTCGACTACCTGATCCTCGACTACCTCCTTCACCAGGCGATACAGACTTGCCTCAAGTACCCAAACACACCAACGCAACAGGAGGCCTCGGCTGTCGAGAGATGTCTGGTACAAGTCGATGAGTTTCTGGCCCTGTTCAAGATGCGATATGCAGACTGCAAGTTTGACCCCGAGATGCGCTACCGTCTACTACTCTGCCAGGTCGTCCCTCTCTTCACGCAACGCCTGACCCGCAACTCGAGCACGCCGAGCAAGCAACGATTAGACAGCATGCGCGAGTCGAATGGTGCTCGAGCGCGGCGTTGGATTGGAGATGCTTCGCGGCTTCCTACTGCAGCCTACGACACGAGCTCCTTCGACAGTGGCCTACCCATTGAGCTACATGAAGTCGAGCAAAACCGCGCTCGGGTGCTGTCCTCGAGCGGCGTAGCGCAGGAGGACGACGCCTACGACGACGCGTTCTATGGTACCAGCGCCTGTCTGTCGCTCCTCGACTTGATCCCGCTCTTCATGGAGGTTACCGCCGCTTGCAACAACATGCTGGACATCGCTTGTGGCCCATCGCGGGGCTTGATGGAACTCATCGCGAATCTGATGTTGCAAGCATGCCTCGAGCAATACCTTATCTTCGGCGCCAGTGGATCCGACGCGATGGATGAGGCATTTGCGTGGGGATACAAGAGCACGGATGGCGAAGAGGAAGAGCAGGATGGTGAGTTGAAGGAGCTGTTCAGAGGCTCTGAAGAGGAAGAGGAGGAGGTACAAGGCTGGAAGGAGACGCGCGAGAGAGCTCTGCAGCAGCTCCTTGGCGGGGACGACGACACGCCGCAACGCTTGTCGAGGCTGGCGTCGGCGCATCCCCTCGCAGAGACTCTGCACACGGTAACGGACTACCTGGAGAGCCTGGCTGCCGTCACTCCTCGACCGGTGCTTGCACAGCTCGAGGGCGGCAAAATGGATGGGATGTCGGAAGCAGAGACACGGGAATTCCTGCGAGACTGTGGACTGGATGTTGCAGATTTCTACGCTTGAGAGCAGACGGGTCGAGACCGGCACTGGGCAGATGTGCATAAGCGAGCGCCAGATGGGGATGACTACGACCTCGTAACGGCCTTGTCAAACGTCCTCTGCTCATCGACGGCCTGGACCTTGGCCAGCCAATCAGCCCGATGGATACACCACTGTTCGGTATCCGGCTTCCAGGAATGAAAATCATCGAGGGTGCCAGCGGCGACACTGATGATGCCGTCCCACAGGGGGGTCAGAGCGAACAGGTTGGTGCCGCATTCGGAGCAGAAGATGCGGCGTAGACTGGAGCCTGAATCGGTGGCGGTATCTTGATAGGTCTTCTGGTACTCAGCGCCGGAGAGGAGTTGGAAGCCCTGTCATTGCGGCCGTCAGACAGACAGTCCCCGCGTCGATGTGGGTGGCACGACAGGATTGATTGCATGCGTTGGGGGCGGAGATGCGAGAGGTGTGCATGGCATGCAGGAGGGAGCAGGAAGGAAGGAGGGAATACCTCTTTGGGACAGATGATCGCGGTGTAGAAGGCTGTGCCGGTCCATTTCTGGCAGTTGAGACAGTGGCAGACTGTATTGTAGAACGGTTTTGCGGCGGAGGAGAGGGAGTATGTGATTCGGGTGCAGAGGCACTGGCCTGTACGGGCGGTCATGTTGTGTGATGTTGGTGGATGGTCAATGTGACCAGTGACCGTTGGTCGAGATGACCATCATCTGTCAGTGGTCGGTGATGGGGTTCTAGAATGGAGCACGAGCACGAGCACGAGCAGGCACATCACATGACACATGACGCATGACGTCCTCGGCTTTGGGCATGATTGCTGTGATTGTAATATTGTGGGGAGGACGGGATGCAGCTGTCTCTCGATGAAGCTGTCTCTTCCGCTATTTTTCCAGTTGCAGACTTTCATGCTGTTGCCCTTTCATATCACGACGAATCGCTAAAAAATCATCATCATCATGGGAGGCTCGATCTGGCACGCAGTCACAGCGCATGTGCGTGCATGGCCTTGGAGGTCTGGCTGGTGTGTCGGGAGGAATCGGCAGTAATGTTCCCTTGGCCGCCGAATCGGCGCTTCTTCCCCCCTTCCACCCTCTCACATCAGACCGCTCTCTCCGAATCATGACGAAAGGGAATGGATCGGATTGTGAAATGGGGAGTAGTAGTTTCACGACTCGACTCACACCGCACGCGCACGATGGACCGGGGAGCGAGACGGCACGTGTCTTGTCGTGAAACACCTTTGTCTGACTCGCTCGCTCCCTCGTCCGACCACCATCACTACCTATTGTCCACCACTATCTATTCCACACCTGCGCGGCGGCTCTTGATGCGCGGCGGCTTCTTCTTATGCACCTGGTATGCAGCTGTTCTGCAATATCCGCCCGCAGCCGGCCAGTCAGAGCAACAGCTCAGGCGCTTGAGAGGGTTAGCACAGTGATTAGCACAAGATTAATGGTTAGGGTGCTGGTGAGAGGGCGACGTGGCGCGCTGTGACTGCCTGGCCACACCAACCACAGAGTACCTACCTGGCGACCCAGTAATAATAATAATAATAGGCACTCTTGCACCTGCAGTCTTGCCTCCCCCATCTGCATCTTTGGCGGCTGTCTCTGTCTCTCCACCTGCCTCCCTTCTGCTGCATGTTCGGGCCTGCAGAGTGCTTGGCTTATAGCACCCCTTCGCTCGCTTGCTGCCTCGCCCAATGGTGATGATGAATTGCGGTGAACCAACCGGACGACATGGGAGCGTTGGCCTGCCTGGGAAGATACAGTCCACTCCGGTCTCGAGAAGTCTCCCTTTTCTCTCTCTCTCTCTGTCTCTCTCTCTCTCTCTCCTTCTTTCCCGTTCAACAACAAGCACTTTTACAACATCACTCCTCCCGCCGTTGCCCATTTCTGGTATTCCTATCCTATCCCATCTTCTACTCCACTTACAATACCGGTTCGACGCTGTTCCAAACGAGACCGGCCCGAACAGACAGAGCTCCCGTCATCTCCCTCGCTCGACCCAGCGCCAGCCATCTTCCCTACTTCTCGTTCCCACTTGACCTTGCATCTACCACTTCTTCTTCTCCTCCGCTAGTCTTCTTCCGTTCCCGTCCATTGGATCCCGTAACATTCCAGCATCGCCTTTTTCCACGCACCACACGCAGACATGCCGGTCTCGCATTTGGGCCTCACGGTCTCTCATATCCCCTCGGCCACATCCTTCTACCTTGCGGCCCTCCAGCCGCTCGGGTACCGGTACATCGGACACCAGGGCAATTCCATTGGCTTGGGAATCGATTCCGCCGATTTCTTCCTGACGCAGTCGCCCATCGGGTTCGTCTCCTCTGCCAAAGTCAACTCTGTAATAATTGCGGGCTGATCTTCAACACAGGACTCGTCCCTCGCCCAATCACATTGCTTTCCTGGCAGAAAGCCGTCTGGTCGTGCGGGAATGCTATGCGTCTGCTCTGAATTCTGGCGCACTCCCGAGCGGCGCTCCGAACTATCGCAACGCCGACTGTTCTTGTTTCAACGCCGCGGTGGAGGATCTGGATGGCAACACCGTGGAGTTCATCTTTCGACAACCGCACGGGGAGGGGGCTTGCTGCGAGACGGCGGCGCCCTCGCAGGGTTCCAGAGTGTTGACCTGGCAGAACGACGTGGCTGGAAGCGCTGGCCCGGACGACGCTCGTTCGCTTGCTCCGACCATGGTATCGCAGGGCTCCTTGGCTTCCAAGACGTCTCGCAAGTCGAGGATGCAGACGGCGCTGGACCTGGCCTCGACGACTTCCAAGCCTGCCAAATCCGAGGCGCCCACGCAGGGCATTTCGAGATCCAGCACCGCGCCGGCCAAATCGGATTTCCCGGGCAAAGCACTCCTGGGGACTGCTCTGGGCGCTGCCGCCGGCGCCGCACTCCTGTACGCCATGACCAAGGCCGAATCCGCCAACGCCAAGGAGGAAGCGGATCATCTCGCGTACATGGCCTCCAAGCCTCGCTCTCATGCTCGTTCTCCTTCTCGTTCCCGTGCTTCGGCGGATGAGCCACGACCTCCACCACCTCGCGCGGAGACCGTCCCTCCGTCCGTGAATGCTTTCGCCCAAATGCCACCCCAGACCGTCTTCTCCCAGGCCCCGCGGTCCGAGAGGGAGACGAGGAGATTCCACCGCAACTTCAGCACCACCGAATCCGTCTTCAGCCGGCCTCCTCGCGCCCCGACCAACGCCATGCGCATGATCGAGGCCACGGGCCACAACGACCAAGACGACGACGTGCAGGAATTCATGCGGAGCCACAATAACCTCCGCCCCCAACCCACGCGCAGCAGGACGTACGACGAGCAAGACTGCGTCTCCGCCATGCCGCCACCTTCCACCCACTCCACCATCAAGCGAGCGAGCACCCTCCCCGTCGAAGACGCCAATCGCCCCGACGACCACCACCACCACCTCGAACTCCCACCGCCCAAGCCCAAATCCAGCGTTTCCCGACATAGCGGCAGTCGCGCTCCCGAAGCCCCTCGCAGCTACCATGCACCCCCTCCTCCTCCTCCTCCTCCTCCTTCTTCTGCCTCTGCCTCTTCTCGTCATCGCCGCAGTAGTCGCGACGACCACCACCACCACCCAGACGGCGACCTGAAACGCCACGATAGCGGTATCAGCATGCATTCCCACCGCTCCCGCCGCGACCGAGACCGCGGCAGCGACACCGGCGGAGGCCGCCGCTCCTCGGCCGCCAGCACCCTCAAGCCTGCCTCGCATCGCAGGGATTCCGCCATTGCCGCTGCCGCCGCCGCCGCCGCCGCCGCCGCAGCTGCGGATCCCAAAGCCAGCCGAGCCCCGAGTTCCTGCTACTTCCCCGCCGCCATCTCCCTGCCGCCTTCCGCAGGCGGTGGCGGTGAGGATGACGACGACCGCGAGAGCAAAATCACCGCTTTCCGCGACCAACACCATGTACCGCCACCGCCACCAGTGCTCGACCCCGTCGCTTCCAAGCAGAGCTGGGAAGACTTCGTGCCCGAGGGGGAAGAAGACGAGAGCCACGACGACGACGACGACGACGGGCTAGGCGACGTCAAGACCGTTTTACCCGAGGATTCCATTTCGTGTGTGGATCTCGGGAAGCAGCAGCAGCAGCAAAGGCGGAGGCGGCATCGGAGTCGTCGGGAGCAGCGTGATGATGGGGACGAGAGGGGTTCGCGGGCGAGTGGGGGGAGGAGGAGTGATGTGACGACGGTGAGACCGATCGCGAAGGAAGAGAAGGAAAAAGAGGGTAAAGGGAGTGTGTTTAGTATTGCGCGCAGGAATGGGAAGAGGAGTTTATTGGGATTTTGAAGAAGGAATTCCTGGGTGGGGGGGGGAGCCCTTTTTTACTTTGTTTTCTTTTCTTCTTATCTCGACAGCTTCTTTTGTTCAGGATTTGGGGGAAGAAACAACGGCACCGACGACAGATCTGATGGATATGATATGATAGACAGACAGACAGACAGACATTCTTTTTCGGTTGTTTTCTTTTTCTTTTCAAAGCAAGGGCAATGCAGGGGGATGATGATGATGGTGATTGATTGATTGATTGATTGATTGATTGACTTTGGGAGAAATAATATTTCGGCTCTGAAGATTAATATCAAATACACGTATATGTATTTTTTTTTTGCCTTAATTCTACTGCTCCTCCTCCTCCTTCTCCTTCTCCTTCTCCTTCTCCTTCTAATAATTGATACCAAAACCATCATACCGAGATTCCATCGCCTTCACTACATGTGCCACCCACCTACCTACTACGGAAATCAATCCTCTTCATCCCATCACCCGATGCGATCGAATCGAACCAAGTGGGTGTTGGCCTGTTAGAAATTCCTGTCACGCGATCCGTCTATCCATTCAACGAACCTGCCGCCCACTCGTGTGAGGAGCAGAAAGGCGAGCTTTCCGAATTCAACCGGAGCGGAGGGATCGAGGGGATGTTTTTTTTTTGTTGCTCTTCCTCTTCTTCTTCTTCTTCTTCTTCTTCTTCTTCTTCTTCTTCTTCTTCTTCTTCTTCGCCAAAGAGACGTCACGAAGGGTTTCCAAGGAATTATCCCTCTCTTCCTCCCCCAAAACTCCTTCGATCGGAGCATCTTTTGCAGACGAATTGTCGTTGTGAGGAGGAGTCTGCCCGGGATCCTTCCTGGATGCCAGAGAAGAAGATAGCAGGCATTCGAATTGGAACGCATCGTTCGCCTTGTTTGGGGAATCCACCTCGATGGGTTTGCTGGGAATTTCAGAGTAAGGAGAAACGGTGGTATACTTGCCTTTGCTTTCCTCGGGAGGGAGACTTTCGAGGACGAGAGGGGGGACCAGCTGCGATGGCGCGATTCTGTCTGTGTAAATAACAGTCGTCTGGATAAAGGGCGATGGATCGTCATGTAGACATGATCCGGCGTTCCTGCATGGTCATCCGGTGGGAGGGCAAGCTGCATATCTTAGATAGCCGCAGACGGGCAATAGCTGCGTTTCATCATACCATTCTTTCAATGGCAGAGACGAAATGCGGTGGCTGGGAAAACATAAACTCTCCTTGTCTGCCATCATATGATACACTACCCGTTCATCTCGGGCGAGGCCGTAGCGGTACTTCTGGCGACAATATCTCGCTCAATCCTATCCCTCCGCCACGCTTCGGCCTCTGAACTGACGTCCTTGAAAACATGATCCTATCCAAAAAAAAAAAAAACCGTCAGCATGGGACAGCTCCACCACAGATCTACAGAACAGAGAGAAAGAAAAAACTCACCATTGCCTCGAGCGATTTCCCATTCGTCTCGGGGACGAAGAAGAAGGTCCAGACGAAGCTGAGCAGGCAGAAGGCCGCGAAGAAGACATACGCCCCGTAGCCCGTCTCCTGCACCAGCGGCGGGGTGATCAGGCCGATGATGAAATTGTTGAGCCAGTTGCTGCACGTGCTCAGCGCGACGCCCTTGGCGCGCAGACTCGAGGGGAAGATCTCGGAGGGCATGGCCCACGGGACCGGGCCCCAGGAAGCGCCGAAGGAGACCATGTAGAAGAGGAGCATCGCCACGCAGGCCCAGCCCTCGGGACGGTGCGCGGGCCAGTCGTGGGAGAACTTGCCGACGAGGACGGCGATGAGCAGTTGGGCGATGAACATCAAGGCGCTGCCGCAGAGGAGGAGGGGTCGTCGCCCGAAGCGGTCCATGGTCCACAGGGACGTGCTCACGCCGACGAGTTGGCAGATGTTGAGGACTCCGGACATGATGAGGCGCATGTTGTAGTCCAGGCCCATCGTCTCGAAGAGTGTCGGGGAGTAGTAGATCAGAGCGTTGATGCCGACAAACTGCGAAGGGTACGTACCTGTCAGCGTAGTCGAGGGGAAATCGGCTGGGTTGTGCTTCAACTCACCTGTTGGAAGAACATCAGCACAACACCGACGTGTGTTCTTCGCCAGCACCCGCGCTTGAGGCAATCCGTCCAGCTGGCAATCTCCAACTTGAACCGGTTCATGCCCGTCCGCTCTTGTAGTTGGGGATGTCGCTCCGCGCTGATCTCCTTATGTAGCGCAACCTCCGCCCGAATATCGAACCATTCCAGCTGCACTCGCGGATCCGCAGTAGGAAGCTGCCTCAACTTGGCCAGATTCACCAGCGCCTCCTGATCCCTCCCCTTACTCGCGAGCCATCGGGGCGAGAAGGGCAAGAACAGAATCCCAACCCCCAGCACCAGTCCCGGGAGGACCTGCAGCAGGAACGGCAGCCTCCAGGCCCACTCCCCAGCCATATAGTACGTCCCATACGTGATCCAAAACGCCACCACGATCCCCGTCACGATACTCAACTCCTCCAACACCAACAGCGCCCCTCGGATCTCCGGCGGCGAAATCTCCGCGATATACAGCGGCGCGACCATACTCAACATCCCGATCCCCAAGCCCCCAATGAACCTCGCCACCACCAACATGGAATAATCCACCGCGGCCGTCTGCAACGCCGATCCGACAATGAACACCCCCACCGCCATGACGATCGAATACTTGCGCGAAAACTTATCCGCCATCCACCCCTGGTTCAACGCGCCCAGCAGCGCTCCCAGCTCAATCATGGCCGTCAACAACCCCTTCCAGAACCCCGCCGATGCACTCCCTTCAGCGATGCGCGTGAAGCGTTGCAGGAATTGCTCTTCGACCAGAATCACGCTGACGACGCCCTGGTCGTAGCCGAACAGCAAGCCGCCCAGGGCCGAGAAGGCCGCGCAGAGCGCGACGTAGTGGCTGGTGAAGATTCCCGGGAAGCCGGATTCGCAGTATGGTTCTCGAGCGCCGCAGAGGATGCCGGCGCTGTCCGAGGGTGTGCGCATGGCTTTGTTTTCTTTGAGGCTTTCTTGTGTGAGGAGGAGATCTGGTTGTTTCTTCGGCTTGTCGTAGGAATCCATGATGGTTGGATGCTTGGGTGGTGTCGACAGCGGCTGGTAGGTCGGTGATGATGAAAAGAGCGAGTGGCGATGTAGGATGATAGAATTCTTCCCTTCCGCGGGCCAAAGCGCCCTGCGTTGACGTTCTGCAGAAATTTCGTCGTGCTCGAATTGATCCGAGACGGACAATGGTGTGGGCGACGCGGAAGTAGATATATGGGGACCTACCTACCTTTACCGCCGGGTCAAGAAAACACACCAGTCTTCTTTTTTAGTCGTTGCTTATCGCGCGACGACAAGAAGAAGAAGTTTCTAGAGACAACGACGAGGACACACACACACTAGCACGAAACATCAAATCTTCTTTTTTTCTATATGCATCACCATCGATCGCTGTCGCCGACGACAATCGTATACTAACGGCAAAACCGCGCGGAAACAGAGTGAGAGTGGGGATAGAAGCGTGCCGAACGGAACACAAAGGCGGATTGTTTCTCCTCCCCCGCCCGGAGAAAATTGGCTTGATGATGAGTGCGGAGAGTCCAATCAAGACCGGTAGAAGTAATCTCTCTCCTCGCTTCGACTCTCTCACACGCCGACATGATACGCAACAGGCTGCGGAGAGGACGATCCCTTCTCCAGAGTGCCTTGATCGGGTAACACGCGCCGGCTGAATGGCTTGGCCGGAAGAACTCTCTGGGCCGTAGCGCGGAATTGATTTCTAAAGGGAAAGGTATCGATATCAACGTCTGTGCTCACCGCATTACTGTCTAGAGTATTCCATGCAGTGCGGTGGAAGCGGCGTGTCGTAGTCCACTACTTCGTGACATGCTGTACGACAAAAGCGCCAGTCTTTCTTCCCAGATCTATCATCAGCTCTTCATTATATGCATCACCTCGTTATTACTCGGTCAGGTTGGCATCATCGAGATGGCACTGCCATACGCCCCACCCTGCCTGCTGGCTGCACCGCGATTGTTTGTTGACTTGGCACCATTCGACCTCTTCCGGATCCCACCACCTGACGTCGAGCGAGCAGCACCCCCGGACGCCTTTCGAGCCGTGCCTGCCTTGCCGTTGCCGTGCGCCGCGTGAGCTTTGGCCTTGAAGGTACGAGCGCGCTTGTGCTTGGGCGAGCTCTTCCTCCCGGGCTGTGAGGCTGGCATTGTCCTCATCCCCGCCGACTGGGAGTAAGCGAACCTGGCGTTGAATTCGGCAACCTCTGGAGCTGTCTCCTGGAAGAAGCGGCTTTCTTCTCCCTCTCCGTCGTCGTCCGTCTCCTCGGCCATGCTGCCGTACTCATCGTTATCTTCGTCGTCCGTGACCAGATCAATTACGTTCTGCGCGTGTTGATCCTCGGGCTCGTTGTCACTGCCAGGTACCTGCCCTCCCATTTCCTCATACCGAGCTCGAATGTCACCGACCAGCTTCGTGAAGTGCTTGCCAAACAGCCGAACCTTTTCGGCGTCGACACCACGGATCTTGAGCATTTTTTCTTCCGTGTCCGTGAAGTCGATTGCCATCTGCCGCAGCATGGTATTAGTAAACGGCGCCATCGTCAGATTTCTCTTCACCATAATCTCCTTGACTCTCTTGCCCGCAATGGCTTGAAACTCGTCAACGATGGCTTGGTGGAGGTCATCGAGGCGTTCGTACACTCTGGAGGACATCGCCGGAGCGGCCATGGTTTTCGCAGCCTTGGCTTTGCGCGTTTTCGTGGCCACTCGCGGAGGCGCAGATCCGTCCGACTCGTTGTCGTCAGATGCCTGAAAGTCCCCGTCTTCGGGATCGGAGACAACAAAATCATCGCGTCGATAGCCATTGGCGTGAAGCTCGCGAAGAGTCGTTTGGTGTCCTGGCCATTTCCTTTTCGCTGCAGCAGCTTGCTGGACCGGAGAAGAGATGATGGTCGACATCGGAACTTCTCGAGGAGCGGCAGCAGTCGCCGTCTTCGTTTTCTTCGTTTTCTTTGTAGGCGCCGTCTTGGGCTTTCGTGGCGACAGTGGCGACGTCCGGACTTGCATGATAAGATTTGCCCTGCCCGAGCGAAAGTCATGGTATCTAGGGCCGAGTGCCACGTATTGCTGCGCGAAGCCTTTTCCGTTGAGCACGTTCTCCTCACGAATTGCATCGTCAGCCAGAAGTCTGTAGAAGAGCCGCTCGGCATCACCCCGATCGATGTCTTGCCCAGCGCCGAACTCATCCAATTTATCTTGCTTAAGATCTTTGATCTTCTTCGTCAGGGCTCCTCGGAAGACATCGACGCAGTGTAACAGGGTTGTCTTCTTGTGAGAGAGCTCTTTGACCAGACTCACAGCTTTCTTTGCGTACTTCGTGAAGTCAACATCCTCAAATGTGGAGTTCGAGTTGCAATTGTCGCAACCGCTCATGCAATCTTCTTGGTCAAAAGCTTCGCTGAAGTACCGTAGCACCTGTACTCGGCGGCAGTCGCTCTGATTGTCACAGTACTGCGTCATCTTGCGCAACATTTGCCGTTGTCGGTCCTTTTGCTCCCGACTGCTTTCCTTGTTTTCATCAATCATTCTGCGTAGCTTCCCGGCATCTTGGTATCCGTAGAAGAGGTAGCATGAGGATGGCTTTCCGTCTCGACCTGCTCTTCCCGTCTCCTGATAATATCCCTCCAATGACTTGGGAATGCTGTGATGGATGACATATCGTACGTTGGCTTTGTCGATGCCCATGCCGAAGGCAATGGTTGCAACGATAACGTGGTATCTACCCTCTTGCCAGTTTTTCTGAACTTCTGACTTCTCCGCGGTCTCTAGTCCAGCATGATAGTGATGCGCCTTGATCCTGTACTCCTCGCATAAGGTCTTGGCCAGATCTTCGCAATTCTTGCGCGACAAGCAGTAGATGATGCCAGTCTGCTTCGAATGTTTCTCTTTGATCAGATTGGCAACGTTCTCGATACCCTCTTTGCCCTTGCCTTTCATGCGGACCTCGTAGTACAGATTTGGACGATTAAAGCTTCTAGTGAAAAGTTCGCAGCCTTTGATACCCAGATTGTGGATGGTGTCGAATTTCACGGCCTCAGTGGCCGTGGCAGTCAAAGCCATGACCGGGACGCCAGGAAACTTCCGTCGGACTTCACCGATTGCAGTATAATCCGGTCTAAAGTCGTGACCCCACTGACTGACACAGTGCGCCTCATCGATCACCAGTCGCGCCATACGCTTACGTTGATAGAGTCGCTCGAAACTGTTCATCATGGCCTGACTCTTGCTGAGCATCTCGGGAGTGATGTAAAGAAGCTGAACGAACTTTTCGACATCGTCCTGCTCAAGTCCATCCATCAAATGACTGCGTTCATCGCGTGTTGTTTCGCCGTTCACTAGAAAAGCTTGGATGTTGAGCTTGCGGAGGTGTTGGACCTGGTCCTCCATCAAACTGACGAGAGGTGAAATGACAATGGTCACGCCTCGAGTCTTTCCAGAGCTAATTAGAGCAGGCAATTGGTAGCACAAGGATTTACCACCTCCGGTCGGCATGAGTACAAAGGTATCCTTGCCACCCAAGGTCGCATTGATTGCGTCGACTTGGTTTTCGCGGAAGCCTTTGAGTCGGAATTTCTCCTTCAAAACCTTGCCAACGTCAACTGACCATGGGTAAGAGAAGTTTTTGCGGTACAGCTCATCTTCCTCTTTCGCGGATAGCTTTTTGGACTTGGCAGAGGGTGGCTTCGATTGACACCGCGCTGAAGTCTGGGGCTTTCGGACTTCGTTCTCGGTCTTGAGAAGCATTTCATCATCGCCGTCGTCTATTCCGTAGTCGTCTTCTTCATACCCATACTGCATTGGTGGAGTGCCCATACGGTTGCTGAAGAGGTCATTTGCCGCAGCATTCATATCAGAGTCTTCCAAGTCGTCAAAGTCATTGTCGTCGAACATTGCGCTATCGTCTCCTATCGGTTGCCGGCGAGACGCGTGACTAGGTGGCTTGGGTTGGGGAGCGTAAGTGCTGCTGTTAGAGACTGGACCAGGCGACGCCCGCTGCGGAACCTGGGTCTGAGCGATGCGACTTGAGCTCGAAATTTGTGGCTTATGGTCCTGCAGGTAATTGTGTGGCACCTGTGTCGATTCCACCGCCACTCGTTGCTTAGAAGCGGCTTCCTTTCTTGCATACTCGACGACAGCACGTACATCGGCTTCGCACCTCCGAAGCAGGGATATGCACCGTGTCTGGACGTCTTCGAGCCTCTCTCGCGCAGCTGCCCTCGCAGTCTTGATGTGATCTGTAGATTCCTTCGCGATAAGAGCCTTTTTGAAATTGTTGCTCACCGTGGCCAAGTCGTTTGTCACGTCTTGGTACGCAGTTGCCTTTGAATGCAACTCTCCTAATGCCACATCTCTCGCTTCAAGCTCGGATCGCTGACGAGTCAGCTGCGGATCCTCAATATCTTGATTGAACAAATCCACAATTTTCTCGATGATTATCTCCCTCTGCTTCTCGATATCTTGCCGTACCTTGTGCGAAGCCTCTTTCGATGCTTCAAAGAAGTTCTTCAGTAGATCCTGCAATTCCTTCGTCTCAGGTGAAGTCTCTTGCGCACCGGCAGTTGGTGGAGGCTCTATCGTCGCGTGTCGTTGTGTCGCAAGCGTAAAAGTCGGCGGTAATGCCTTCACAAAAGACTCTTCGATGCGTGGGGCAGGCTTGGACTCGGTAGCAAATGCATGGTCCAGGTTCGGATAGTTGACGATCCCGTGCGGTTCCCGCACCTCTTCGTCCTCCTCGATTGATGGAAACTCATCGTACTGAGTCTCAACTTCCTCCTGTTTCGCAGCTGGTGTCAACTTTACGGGCGACCGCCGAGTGGGAGAGACCATCGGCGGTTTTCGACATGGTCCTGAAAAGTTCACCAAGTCGTCATCCTCGTCGTCCTCGTCATCCGAATCTAGTATTTCACGTTTGCTTGAAAGTGTCACAGGCGGCGTGGCTCTCACAGAGACCTTATTCGGAGCCGGTCTTGGGCGTCGCACAGGGGACTTGGCCTTCGCCGGAGCCATTGTCGAGTACGGCGGCGGAGGCTCTGAGGGGACGTCGGTCTGCTTTGTCGGGCTGTCCCACTCCTCAATATCCTGAAATTCCTGGGACGGCCGGAATGGTATTGCGTTCTGTAATGCTACTTTCTTCGCAGACACAGGCGCTGACCGCAAACCGCGCTCGAACTCTTCGCTCTTCCTTTTTCGCCCTGTGTTAGATGTGGTCTTCTTTTCCGGTGTCGGCGAATTTGAGAAGGAGAAGTCCTCCGTCAGATCCAGGAATTCTACTGGATTGGCTTGGATGTTAGACGGCTGCTCGCGCACAGGCGTCCGTTGCATCGTCAGGTCCTTCGAAGATGAGGCTGGCGGTCGGGAGGGCGGCTTTGGCATCTGCCGTGGCATCTTCGAAGGAGACGCTACTGGTGCTCTCGAGCCAGAGCGGGCCGCGATTTGAGGCGTGTTGGCCCTGCTCGTCGCGCTGGGTGGCGCTCTTGTCCGTGCCATTTCTTCACCTCCAGCACTTGGGTCTGCGATGACCGAAAGAGTCGGAATTCTTCTCTTGGCGCTCACAAGCGGCTGTATCTCCTCCTCTTCGAACGACGAGTTACTGGCTGACGGGAATGAGGCGAAGACGGGCGGAAACGAGATCGTGTCAGGCGGTAGCGAAGGTTTCTCGCGTAACAACCAGCGCAGGTGCTCGTCCAGGTTGTTGCGCGTCATTTGCGGCGACCATCGCTGTCGCAAACAATTGTCGATAGATTATGCGGAAGCATTGAGGTGGGTTGGATGCGTATCGAAGATTGACAGTTGACTGATGTTGTCAGAAGTTCGCGCACGTGTCAAGCACGAGCCCGCGGCGGACGCGTCGTTGCCTCGAAGACACGTGATGTCGTCAAACTCTATATGTGAGAGCTTTGACTAACAAAGAAGGTTCATGGCCCGGCTATCTATATAAGGTTTTGAGGTGTTTTTATATCCCCTCTGCTTGGCTGCCAAGACCAGAGTTTTTCACACTTAGGCATAACACCACTTTAGTAAGTGTAGTATAATTCCTTAGTATATAGGCTAAGGATCTTACATCCCCCTACTTAGACTTTAGTACCTACTAAAGCCTTAGTAGAGCCTCAATTGTCTAGAGATTCGTAGCCTCCCTCTATATACTAGTATATAGTTGTCCCTATAAGCCTTAGCCTTATAAAAAGGTTATAAGCCTTAGGTAGTAGTATTTGCTAGTATATAGGCTTTATCTTTCCTAATTAGGAAGGATGTTTGCTCCTACTTACTAGATAATAGTAAACTTTCACTGTTTATAACTTGCCTATATAACCTAGTAATAAGGGTACGAGACCTAGTTATTAGAAGGTAAATAAGTAAGCTTCTAGAAGCTTATATAGGTAGGGGTATAAGAGCTTCTTCTCTACTCTTATCTCCTTCTTCTTATTAACTACTCCTCTACTCTATTCTCCTCCTATAATAATAAAAGCCCTCTCTAAGAGGCTAAGTATATATACATTTTCCCTTCTAAGCTTCTAAGCTCTCTCCCTTTACTTCTAATAACAACATTTATTAGTAGCTCTTATTAGAGCCTTAGCTAGTAGAGCTTATACTATGTCTTCCCTTTAGGTACGCATAGCTAGTATACGTGTTAGCCGTAAGAGTAGCCGTACTAATCTTAAGGCTAGCCTATCTTCTTTAGGGAGTAGTAGTAGAGAGCCGCTAAGGTAGCTACTAAATTTTGGACCTACAGTACTAAGCTTAATAGAAAACCAGTTCTAGTAGATTATAAATGCTCTATAGGACTCGTAGTTCCGCTATACTTCTGTTACTATAGATCTAGCAAAACTTCTTAAGCTAGCTCGCATTGTCTTTATTACTAATAACTATAGCCTTATCTAGCGCTAGTATAACATCCTTCTAAGCAGTTCTAGGAATAGCCGGCCAAACATAACTCTGTTTAACTAGATTACTTCTCCTAAGGCCAACTTTAACAATAATCGTAGTAATCCTAACATGCGCCCTATAGATAAAGCTATAGTTACTACTATCCTAGGTGGTCTAGCTAGAACAATTACTATCAATCTATATAGTAGTACTAGCTACCTACTTGTGATTCTAGGTGCCCTACTAAAAGGGGCTATTACTAACTCTAGTCCTCCTAAGTAGTCTCTAGATATAGAGGAAGATAAACAGAGCCGTTACATTTAGTATAGCCCTAAAGACTCTAGAAAGGGTAGGCTTGCTTTGTGTCGCCGGATACTAGATAGTTAGGGTAGTTAGTTACTTAGAGGTGCCTATACTAACTGTACTTAGACTCTAGGTCACAATAGATGCTCCCTAAGCTTAGGAGTAAGTAGAGTACGCTCCAACTTAGCTAGCCTAAGCAGGTCTAGTAGGAGGCCTAATCGTCTAGTTATTAATAGGGAGGCCCTTTTTAACTAGGCATTAACTAATATCCGGGATATGTAAGGAGCTTAGGATACTCTTAGAGGTCTTATCTACTTCAAGCCTAATACTATCGAGCCTACTAAGGACACTAGGGAGGGTGTGATAATTATCCTATTTAACTTTAATATTAATAATTAACTATAGTAGATTGTAAGACGAATAAAGTACGCCTTAGGTCGTAGTCGCTATGTAGCTAATGTAGCTACTACCCGCCTTCGTTAGGATGTAGGAGGGGATGCTAATTCTAGTAGGGATGAGAGTAACTCTAAGAAATAGGGTCTTTCTAGTAAGGAGGGTAGTAATAAAGATAATAAATAAGTTTAGTTAGGGAGCTGTAAGGGTTTAGGTTAGTAGTTCTTCTTTTGCTTTTACTTTTAGGGGTTAGTAGAGTTAGTAGGTCTTTTTCCTTTTTCTTTTAGCTATTCGCTAGAGTAGCCTATACTACTATAGGTTACTACTTATAGCCTTTCCTTTATGTTATAGAGTACTAGGACAAGTATAGTCTCTTATTAAGATTTAGTAGCCTCTAATAATTACAGAAATTGAAAACTTATCTTAATTTCTCTTTCTCTAAGAAGGAACAGGTCTCTACCTTAATCCCCTAGGTCTAGGCCTTACTAACTCAAGCTTATTCTCCTTATATTCTTAAGAAGAAGCTAATAGGTCCCTAGGGTTATAATCTCTTTAGAGAGGAGCAGTTATAGGAGGTTGTATTAGTCTTAGTTCTTCTACTATAGAATTAGGTTCTCTAGAGGGATAGAGTAAACTGTCTTTAAGTATAGTTCTAGGTCTAGAATTTCGCTCTATAACTAGTAGAGAAGGATTACTAGGCTGTTCCTAAGTAAGCCTAGCTAGTACTAGGTCCTCTAGGATAGGTAGGGCTAGAGATCCCTCTATCTCCTTTGCTATATTCCTTTATAGGCTTAGCTAGCTTGTAGGCTGAAAGCTAGTTAGTCTTGTTAGAGGTTCCTCTTTAAGTCTGTTAAGTAAGGATTTTTCTTAAGCTTACTTATACTCTTAGATTTTTAACTTCCTTCTTCTGTCTTTTAAGACCTAATCTATAATTTTTTAGTTTGAACCTATTACTAGATTATCTCCCTCCCCTACTAAGAATCTTCGTACTCCTATATAAACACGATACTAGCTAGCATTCCTAGTTAGGGAATTCTAAAGTCTCTTCTATTTAGCCTCTAGAATTGTTAAGAGATTAGAAACTGACATCCTTATATCTCCCTCTTTATTTAGGATCTCCTTAATTTCTAGTAAACTTGGAGTACTAGGCTTACTATTTAATATACTATTAGCATACTTTGACTAGAATTGTTTAGAGCCTGTTATGTATAGCGTGACCTAGACTGAAAAGTGTATAAGAAGCTTAATTGTTGACTATCTAGCTAGTAAACCGAAGGAAGTAGGCTGGCTTGCTAAGCAAACCGAGCCGACCTTCCTTCCTTCCGTAACATGTCCCCCCCCTCCGGAAAGAAGACCTACTCGCCTACGAGCATAGGAAACAATTAAGTTAAAGCTCGTCCTCGTAGTCTTCCTTAGGCTCGGACTCGGTATTAGGTTCCGCGGCCTTCGCCTTACCCTTCTTAGCCGCCTTAGACTTAGCGGACGGCTTAGCCTGCCCCTTCTACTTCTTAGACGAGCTGTCCGGCGTCTGGTCCGATTTGCGCTTACGGCCGACGAGGGGACGCTCGTTAGTAAAGGCTATAGGAGGCGGTTTAGCCTTCGTAGAGGAGTCGTTCTTCTTACTAGAGGAATGCGTCGCCGACTTGTTATAAGGAGTAACCGGCGGGCCGGCGTAAGTGCCCCGCGTAGCCCGAGTAACGACCTTGTTCTTCGGAGTAGCCGGCGGTCCGGTCTACGTAGTAGGGGCCTAGCGCGGTAGTGCCTAGGATAAGGGTAGTAGCTACTGTTACTACCCGAAGATAGAGGTCGGCGGCGCGTACGGCCGACCGAAGAGAGTCGGCTAGGCCTATAGAGCTAGAGGCTAAGGTGTAGGCTAAGCCGGGCGCGGCGTAGGTGCCGGCTAGGGCAGTAGGGCCGGGCGCTGTCTAAATAGAGGCGGCGGCGGAGGCTACGGTCGTGCCCGCGGTACTACCGGACGTAGCGATCCCGGTGTTACATACTCGCCCCGGTAATAGAGACGCACCTAGTTAAAGTAGTCCGAGTACAGCTCGGAGGACGGGTGTTTAGGGATTGGGTTAGCGTTATCGACCTTAGCCTAGGCCGCGAGATATGCCTAGCCGACGTAGCCCTTAAAGCCTAGGTAGATAGTAGGATATTGTTCTAGCGGCGGATCGGTTAGCTAAAAGCCTTCACGCTAGGCTAGGTCTACGCCGTAGGTCATTTCCTAGAGTAGCAAACCCTAAAGCTAAATTGCCCGGTATATACTATTAACGCTATTACAGAAAGAGGAGGTCGCGTCACGGTACGCGAGAATAAGTTAGTAGCGTAGGAGTCGAACAGTACGGTCGTAGTAATACTAGGTAGCTCGTAGAGTAGCGCGGGTACTCTCGGACTAGATACTCTCTGTCTAGTCTACGGGTATAGTCTAGTTAGTAAGAGTAGTTTAGGCGTCCTCGGCTAGGCCGTCCTATAGAGCGGCTTTATCGTTACGGGAGTCGGTTTGTATAGGCGTATCTACTAGAGGCGAGCCATAGATAAAGGGTAGCTAGTCGTTATCGTTATTATTATTATAGTCCGAGTCGTCGGGGTCGGGCTAGTTGTTAGGGTAGTCGCGATCCTCGTTATTATTATTATCTACGCTATTACTACTATTACTGCTATCCCCGTCGTCGGTCTCTACTAATAGAATGTAAGGGTAGGGAGGTTGCTCGCTATTAATAAGCCGGTCTAGGGCGGCTGTCTTAGCTCGGGCTACTAGTAAAAGAAGCTACGGGGCGTTAGTACCTTTAGTAATTATAGGAAGGACGACGGCTATAGCGGGGTCGGCTTGTTCTTCCGGTATAAGCTACTCGAAGCGGCTGTCTAACATTAGTATACTAAGTATTAGACGGTCCGGTCTAACACGCGTAACGGAATAGACGTCGTCTCCGGTTAGCCGGCCGCGTCGTATGACGCCGATGTCCTCTTCGAAGCGTATAAGGACTGGGTCCTCTAGTACTATCTCCTATACGGTACGGAGAGTAATAATAAAGTGTACTACGCCCTTGTAGCGGGCTTGTTCCTCCTCGCTAAGGCTATACTAGAAAGACTTAACGGCTTCGAGCATATGTAGGGAGGTTCGGTTCCAGTCGAGCACTATAGGA